GCTTTCTCATTTGGCCCGAGGTTGCCTCTCAACGCTATACAGACCAATGCAGGATCAACAGCTTCACCAAACGTAATGTTTGGCAACAACCAACTTAATAACCCTACAGCTGCATCAACATCGATCAACCAGCCTTCGTTTAGTCACCCGATGGTTAGGTCTTCCACGGGTTCTGGCTCTGCTTCTGGCTTAGGCTTAAACTGAGACCCCCATCTCTTTAGCTTATTTAGCTTATTATTATAAGTTTCCAGTCTTTATTTTGCCTTGTTATTTGAGACCGTAGAAATTGTTCTAAGCTAGTGTGTCTTGTCTTGTAGTATCAAAATATCATTGTGAAATCAAACAGTTACCAAAAGTCTATGTATTTGTCACTCTTCCCGAACTTTTTTTTCTCTATTTCGACATTTCATCAAACAATCTATGAGGTCATTTTTGCAGATGATAATGAACTATATAGCAACATTTCGAAAATACTAACAATTTGTAAAATTTAGCAAAAAAAAAAGAAATGTATTTTTATAGTTTTTCGACAAGGGCTATTTTAACGAATAACCAAAAAAAATATATATTTAAAAAATTGGTAAAAAAAATGTATGTGGCACGATCTTAGGTTTTTTTATTTAGTTTGTAAATTATAATTTTTTTTGTTGTATTAATGGTAAATTATCCCTTTCGACAATTTTGATAAAGTTTAAAAATATACATTCTAATGAAATGCTTAAAAATGGTGATGAGTAGCCATGATTGAAATGGTTTTTTTCTCGTAAGAGCTCAAATCCGATTGATTCCGTTTCAGAGGCGAACCACGACGAGATGATGATGAGAAGGAAGATTTCGGCGAACCCCACGTCGTAGAAGAAACCGAACTCCGGCTAGAATCTTCCGACGTCGAAAACGTCGTCTCCGATTCATAGAAATTATCAGATTCAGACGATGTCGATTCCTGACCGATCTTTTTCACATCGCCGCCGCTCTTACTCTTCTTCATCCCGAACAATGATTTCGGAAAACGCCACCGGCGAAAAGAACCACCGGAATCGAGTCCGAGTCTTGCTCGAGGTGAAGAAGATCCGAAATATGGAGCCGGAGGTCCTGAAGAGTGGGAGTAAGAGTCGGAATCAGGAGGCGGCTTGAGCTTGAAAGACGAAGGAGGAGGAGCAAACGGAGAAACCGGACGGATTTTGGATTCAGAGATTGGATTCGGCGGCGGCGGAGTAGGTTTTAATCGGAGAGGAGGGAGTTTTTTGGGAGGAAGAAGAAGAGATGGATCATGATCGGGTCGGGTTTTGGGTATACCGGGTCGGATCTCCCAGTTAAAAGGCACAGCTCCGGGTCTCTTGAAAGAATCGTCACCATCGACCATTGGCTTCCCAAACCAAAAAAAAAAAAGGTTTCTTTGATTTGTTTCAAAGGATTATATAACAAATTAAACAACAACTTATTGTTTTAATTTATTATTTTTAGAACGTATACAGATTTCTTCTGGCAGTTTTTAATGTGAAAACTATTAAAGGTTCAACGAATTTGTGACAATTTATTTATGGTATTTCATTGGATGTGTATCTTAACCTTCCTTTTCTATGTAGATATGGAAGGATATCTACGTAATTAATACACTTGAATCTTTTTACATGTTCGGAGGATCTCAATACTATTAAAGGTAATTTTAATAGGAAAAAGAGAGTAAATATTGGTTCAAAAAATGCATATTTGAATTAAATAATACCATTTTTGTTTTTTTATATATTTAATGAATATTAAGTAAAATTTTACAAAAGAGAATGTGAATAATTTTGAGGATTGTAATTAGTTTAGTCATGTTGTGAATAGAGAGAAAGAGAATGGGAAAATTCGTATCTTCTTTCATTAATCAAGTATCCTTTATATAA